CCATGCTGGCTCAGGAATTCTGGGAGTTGAAGTCCGCAAGTCATGAAAGGGCCATAGTTCCCCCATGCTGGCTCAGGAATTCTGGGAGTTGAAGTCCGCAAGTCATGAAGGGGCCACGTTTGAAGACCCCTGTCCTAGATTCACAACCATTCGTTTAGCGACCGAAGTTTCAACGGCACTGAGAAAAGTGGCTTGGTGACCGTTGTTCACACTTAACGACCCGTCGCAGGATCCTCGTGGCCACGTGATCAAAATGCAGATGATTGGCAACCGGCGTGTAATTGTGTCACCCCATTTTACGACGTTTTTCCCCCACAGCTGCTAAGTTAGCCACACGGTCGTTAAGTGAGTCTGGCTTCCCCGCTGACCTTTGCTTGTCAGAAGGTCGCAAAAGGAGGATCCCGTGATCCCGGGGGACACGGCGACCGTCGTAAATATGAGCCGGCTGCCAAGCGTCTCAATTTCGACCACATGACCACGGGGATGCTGCGATGGTCGTAAGTGTGAAACACGCTCCTAGGTCTCTTTTGGCCCAAAGTCACCCAGATGGCTTTCGTGCCTAAGGCGGGACTAGAACTCATCGTTTCCTGGTGATTGGACCAAAAGTACTCAGCCGGCTTTCATGCCTAAGGCGGGACTAGAACTCACCGTCTCCTGGTGACTGGCCCAAAGTCAACCAGCTGGCTTTCATGCCTAAGGCGGGACTAGAACTCACCGTCTCCTGGTGACTGGACCAAAAGTCACCCAGCCACGTTTCATAAGACAGAACTAGAATTCACCATCTTCTGGCGATTGGCCCAAAGTCACCCAGACGGCTTTCATACTTAAGATAGAACTAGAATTCACCATCTCCTGGTGACTGGCCTAAAGTTACCAGCCAGCTTTCCTGCTTAAAACAGAACTAGGATTCCCAGTCTCCTGACGACTGGCCTAAATTCACCCAGCTGGCTTTCATGCCTAAGGCTGGACTAGAATTCACCGTCTCCCGGTGATTGGACCAAAAGTCATCCAGCCATGTTAGTCACTTAAGACTAGAATTCATACTTAAGGCAGAACTAGAATTCACCGTCTCCTGGTGATTGGCCCAAAGTCACCCAGAGGGCTTTCATGCTTAAGACAGAACTAGAATTCACTGTCTCCTGGTGATTGGCCCAAAGTCACCCAGCCGGCTTTCCTGCTTAAGACAGAACTAGGATTCCCAGTCTCCTGACGACTGGTCTAAATTCACCCAGCTGGCTTTCATACTTAAGACAGAACTAGGATTATCAGTCTCCCGGCCTAAAGTCACCCCGCCAGCTTTCAGGCCTAAGGCGGGACTAGAACACACAATCTCCTTATTTCTAACCACTGGACTCAAGTAACTCTCATAAATATTTCTCGTCCGATTTATTGGGGAAATTAAACATAAACCGATGATTAAAATCACAGTGAACCAGTCACGCTTTTCGGGATTTGAGCATTTCCAACTATAGAAAGCCTGTCACCGACGGGAAGAGACAGAGACAGAACCAAAGAGTCACGTTCATAAGATGCATTGCAGCAATATCAGGAAGTTCTCAGCTTCCAAATATGATTCCCCCCCCCTTGGTCAAAGGGTAGACGCTCTATGAGATCAGAGAACAAAAATGTTCTGTCCCAAACCTATTTGGAGAAAAATCCCTGGAAACATGGAAGGAGTGTCTGGAATGTGTCCTTCTACATATATACATATATATATACACAGACACACTTATAAACAGCATCGGTTGCCTTGACGGATAGTCACTTAGGCTGAGCAATGCCACACAACTAACACAACGGCTCGGAGGAGACCTCTGCTGCCTGTACAGGGTATGAGAGGAGAAAAAAAAAAAAATCAAGTTTGGGCCATACAGGAAATCCTCAACTTACATAAGATAAGATAAGATGATAAGATAAGGTGATAAGATAAGGTGATAGGACAAGATAAGATAAGATGAGAAGATAAAATAAGATGAGAAGATAAGATGATAAGATAAGATAAGATAAGATATAAGATAAGATAACCTTTATTGTCATTTTTTTTACTGTGGGCACAACGGCACACATCAAAAAAGAAATTTAGTCGCCCGCTCTCAAAGTGAAACACATACATGACGCACACCTAAACATACTATGAACAACGTATGCATAGACCCACATCCCTACATATATATAGCAAATAAATATTAAATACTGTCCATCTTGAATATATAACGGAAGGAGGAAGCTTGAGAGTTTGCAAGGTTAATGCTGTATGGCAGTGGTGGCGAACCTATGGCACGCGTGCCAGAGGCAGCACTCAGAGCCCTCTTTGTTGGCACGCGCACCACCGCCGCCAGCAGGTCCATCAGGCCGCCACCGCCGCCCCGAGCAGGAGCCCCGCCCAGCACAAAGGAGGCGAAGCGGCCGACTAGCAAGCTCGAGTAGAGGTGGTAGAGCAGAGGTCACCAACCATTGTTGATTGGTGGACTGGAAGAAAAGGGAGGGGGAAGCATTTTACATGCGTGCATGCGTGCACGGGGCCGCGAGCACACACACGCTGCAAATGGGGCAGGGCTAGTGCCTGCATGATACTCACTAGCCCTGCCCTGTTCTTGCATGGTGCAGTGCCTTGTATCTGCACCCCAAGGCTCGGCCGTTTGTGCGCCTTGCAGCACGGTGGCCCATTTTTGCGCCCCCCCCGTTTTTGCGTGCCAGAGGCGGCACTCACAGACGCCTCCCTGCCCCCCCCCAGGGCACCACAATGCTGAGGCGGCCCTGGCACTTTGCGATAAATAAGTGGGTTTTGGGTTGCAGTTTGGGCACTTGGTCTCTAAAAGGTTCGCCATCACTGCTGTATGGAATGAAACTCTGGCTGAATCTGGATGTTCTGCNTTACTGGGCACAATGGCACACATCAAAAAATGAAATTTAGTTGCCGGCTCTCAAAGTGAAACACATACATGACACACACCTAAAACGTACTATATACAACGTATGTATAGACCCACACCCCTACATATACGTAACAAATAAATATTAAATACTGTCCATCTTGAATATATAATGGAAGGAGGAATATATCCACCCAAAACCATACACAACACACATATACACATGCCATACCCACACACACAAACCCATATTCTCCAAAGCGCCTGAAGGCAGGACAAGAAGCAACGGATGGAAACCCATCAAGGAGAGAAGCAACCTAGAACTAAGGAGAAACTTCCTGACAGTCAGAACAATTAACCAGTGGAACCACCTGCCTCCAGAAGCGGTGAATGCTCCAACACCAGAAGTTTTTAAGAAGAGACTGGACAGCCATTTGTCCGAAATGGTGTAGGGTTTCCTGCCTGAGCAGGGGGTTGGACTCGATGACCTCCATGGTCCCTTCCAACTTTATTATTATTATTATTATAACCCAAGGTGGCATTTCCACCGGACACTTTTCCCAAAAGGTTTCCACAATTTTGGCCACTACTGTGGTTCTGAATTTCTAATGTCCTCCCAGTTGACCTTCTAGAGAAGCGAGAGCGCCCTTCTCCTCTCTCCTCCTCATTTCCACAAACACCACTCCCTTCTCTCACTGATGATGTTACCTAGTTGGGTAATGAAACGCCTGCAAGAAAACAAGCCACAATCCAGCTGAGAGACCACCAAGGACCCTACAGTCCTGCTCCTTCCCTCCCCCACCCCGACTTTAAACACGGAAGATTTCTCCCCTTCCCCACGCTTTTTAAAATCCCACCCACGAGAACTCCGAAATATTTTTTTTCCCCAGCAGACGATATTTCATCAACCGAGCCAGCTTTTTCGCGGAGGTTTCGCGCAAGCACCAAGGAACGGGTCCTCTCGTGCGAACTGGAGACCGTCGCTGGAAATCGGAACCAGAGCTTCCCAGCCAATCTCGACAACGACAACGACAACAACAAAAAAACCCCAACCGGTTTACACAGGACAAAACCAATGCTCGGAACGTCGAGAGACCAAAAAAAAAAAATTCTGGCTCCGACCGGATTGCGGGAAAATGGCGACTGTACCTGAACAAAATAAAGCCCAGAGATTCGACAGCCGCCCGTCTGACGTCATCGTTCACATCGCTCACCTACGAAAAAGAAAAAAAGAAAAAAAGAGAGAGCAGAAATTAGGCTAAATATATGGAAATCACTCGCGCGGATTTGTTACTCCTGTTTCCTGAGCACTTATTACCCCCGTTTCCCTGAAAATAAATCCTAACTGGAAAACAAGCCTGATTTTTCAGGATGCTCGTAATATAAGCTCTACCCCCAAAATAAGCCCCAGTTAAGATCGTCAGCCAGATACTGTGTTTCCCCAAAAGCCCCCCCCCAAAAAAAAGTAACCCCCAGCTTGATTTTTGGGGATGGGCCTAATATAACATGATTGTTAAGTGAATCTGGATTCCCCATTGTCAGACGGTCGCAAAAGGGGAGCCCATGACCCCGGGGACACCGCAGGCAGACTGCAACTGTCCTAAGTCCATGTCAGTTGCCAAGCATCTGGATTCTGATCGTGTGACCCTGGGGATGCTGCAACGGTCGTGAGTGTGAAAAACAATCGTAAGTCACTCTCACCGGGGCCGTTGTAACTTCAAACCGTCACAAAATGAACGGTTGTAGGTTGAGGACTACATTCATTCATTCATTCATTCATTCCAATTTCTACGGTTTACTCCAGAGTAAGGAGCTCTCACCGCCACGTGCAACAGACGCCTGATGGCTTTGTTGTTTCCTGAGCCACAATAAGCCATTGCGACGGTATACATCCCCGAACGGCGGAGAATTGGGTCCTGGAAAGGGGGGGAAAAAAAAGCGTTATAAATTTCACTGCAGAAAAAACCAGGGCAAAATTCAGGGCCATGACCACTGTTTTTGCCCACAGATCGATCTCCAGGAAGACCTAGAAAGATCTCTATCGAAAGCCACGCCAGGGAAGACTTTGTAGGGATGAATTAATAAGATTTATTAGAAACCGATAAAAGAAAATATTGATAGCTCAGGGTTGAACTGTGAGCTCCTGAGTGCTCTCTGAGCTGGGCTACTTTCTTGGAGACGTTTCACGACCCAACTAGGGAACGGCATCAGTGCACGAGGGAGGGAGGGGGGGTTGCTCTGTTTATAGACTAATAGCTTTTCCTGTCAGTGTTAGTAGGGGTTGTGGTTTTCTCCTTGGTGATTCCTTGGTTAGGCTGTTGTTTTCTTTATGTTTTCTCCAATTTTCCCCACAACAGCAACCCTGTGTGAAGTGGGTTGGACTGACAGAGAGGGACTGGCCCAAAGTCACCCAGCTGCCTTTCTCACCTAAAGGTGAAACTAGAACTCACCGTCTCCGGGTGATTGGCCCAAAGTCACCCAGCCAGCTTTCATGCCTAAGGCAGGACTAGAACTCACCATCTCCCGGTGATTGGCCCAAAGACCCTCAGGCGGCTTTCATGGCTAAGGCAGGACTAGAACTCACCGTCACCTGGTGATTGGCTCAAAGTCACCTGGCTGCTTTCATGCTTAAGACGGGACTAGAACTCACCATCTCCTGCTGGCTGGCCCAAAGTCACCTAGCTGCTTTCCTGTCTAAGATGGAACTATAACTTCCAGTCTCCTGGTGACTGGCCCAAAGTCACCCAGCCGGCTTTCATGCCTAAGGCAGGACTAGAACTCACCGTCTCCTGGTGATTGGCCCAAAGACACCCAGACAGCTTTCATGCCTAAGGCAGGACTAGAACTCACCGTCTCCTGGTGATTGGCCCAAAGTCACCTAGCTGCTTTCATGCCTAAGGCAGGACTAGAACTCACCGTCTCCTGGTGATTGGCCCAAAGACATCCAGGCAGCTTTCATGCCTAAGGCAGGACTAGAACTCACCATTTCCTGGTGATTGGCCCAAAGTCACCTAGCTGCTTTCATGCCTAAGGTGGGACTAGAACTCACCGTCTCCTGGTGATCGGCCTAAAGTCAATGCTAAGGCAGGACTAGAATTCAACAGTCTCCTGGTGATCGGCCCAAAGTCATTGTTTCACGGCTAGGGCAGGACTTGAACTCATGGTCTCCTGCTTCCTAGCCTGGTGCTTTAACCACTAGACCAAAGTGGCCCTTCGTAACCCCTAGTCATCTCCCAGAAAGCAGCAGGTTGGGCAATAGATGCTCCAAAGTCAAATATTGGCAGTTCTTTCTAAAAAAAAGAAAAGAGCGCTGAGAAAGAGGGGGAAAAAACTCACCTTATCTCTGCAGAGGCTCTCTATGAGGGCATCGGCTTCCTCCATGCGCCCGTACATCACCAGGGCGATGCCCACGGCCAAGCCCCGTAAAATCTTCTCGTGCTGGGTCTCCTGGGCATAGCCCACCATGTCCTCGATGGCCTGAGCGTTTTTGGATCCCAGCATCACCAGGCCCAGAGCCAGACCGGCCGCTTCGCCTTTCGGGTGGGAAAGAATAAAGCGGCATCAACACAGAATGGAGGGTTCCATATTCTTTGCTTACGTATATTTGTCTTTTATGCCACCGGCGAATAAAAGTCATAATAAAAATTACATTGGAAAAAAAAAAGATAGATGACTTCTTTGATCGGAAAGACTCTCAAGTCGGTCATTAACCAGCAATTTGAAGAGGCGTGGACTTCAACTCCCAGAATTCCACAGCCAGCTGTCCCTCAGTGAGGGAGAGGGGCGGTTTTAAATTAATGGAACAACAAAGTGGGAAGAGACCTTGGAGGTCTTCTAGTCCAACCCCCTGCTCAGGCAGGAAGACCTATATCAGGGTTAGGCAACCTTGGCTCTTTTTTGACTCGTGGACTTCAACTCCCAGAATTCCTCAGTCAGCATGGGGGAACTATGGCCCCCTCATGACTCGTGGACTTCAATTCCCAGAATTCCTCAGCCAGCACGGGGGAACTATGGCCCCCTCATGACTCGTGGACTTCAATTCCCAGAATTCCTCAGTCAGCATGGGGGAACTATGGCCCCCTCATGACTCGTGGACTTCAACTCCCAGAATTCCTCAGCCAGCACGGGGGAACTATGGCCCCCTCATGACTCGTGGACTTCAATTCCCAGAATTCCTCAGTCAGCACGGGGGAACTATGGCCCCTTCATGACTTGCGGACTTCAACTCCCAGAATTCCTAAGCCAGCGTGGCTCAGCTTGGAAACCTCTCCCTTTCCCCTCAGCATGGCTGGCTCGGGAATTCTGGGAGTTGAAGTCCGCAAGTCAGAAAAGAGCCTGGGTTGCCTACTCCTGCCCTATACCATCTCAGACAAATGATTGTTCAATCTCTTCTCAGAAACGTTGATAAATAAAATAAATCACACATAATTCTGGCTTTTCTTCTCTAATTCTCCTAAATAACTGTGGCAGCCTTGTGTTTTGACTCTTCCAGTACTTCTTTGCTGCCTATTAGAAAGACTTGAGCACAGCAGTACCCA